CCAGAATGTTGTCAAGTTTTTAATTGTCTCGCATAATTTGTTCCCAGTCCTGATGAGTGGCTCCCAGAAGAGCTTGGGGGCTGCAATACTGCATTTCAGGTGAAAAACGTCTTCTCGCTGTCTGATGGGGATCCAGTAGGCTTAGGTTCTGGAGTTTTTGACAGATTAGGGTCTTTAGTCGTTGGTTGATAGACCTTTGGCTTGACCACTACCACACCAGACTACATTAGGCACAGCAGGTGGGCCAGTGGACTTCACCGCAGTGGGTGGGAGACTATATCCCACGGCCTCATCCAAGTAGCCCAGAGGCTTTTCTGCCACCGGCCTGCTGTCATCGGTCTATCAGGTGGGTTTTGCAGTTTAAGGTGGGAAAATGATGATGCTGGAGCATCTTTACTGACTGGTTCCAGCTGGCTCTGTTGGCAAAGGAGCCAGAACACCCAAGTGTAGTGTGGTTTTCCAGCATGGCGGCAGATACGGCACCTCCTTGGCAGTGGGAAAGTCAGAGTTTCTTTACTCCTGTTCACTGCAGTTTGTAGCATGGGATGTCAGTACGTGATGAGTTTGTAGCATGGGATGTCAGTACGTGATGAGGCTAGATGGCCAGTTTGACCACATCTGCAGACAAGTCTTTTGTCACCCGTCGTTTGGCACAAAAAGGCAATATGGCCCCACCCTGATGAATGATGGTGTGGCTTTTTCAGTATCATTCTGATAAGGAGGATATGGTTCTCCCCGCAGTAGCCTCAATAGTGGCTGATGATCTGGCTGCACTGACTTGTGGCTGGTAGGATTGAACTATCATCCAACTCATAGGGCATTTTGTATTTTGAGAAGTGGTGTTCTTACCCACTTCCTATGTCTAACTGCTTGTTCCTTTATCTTCAGAGCTGTCTCCTGCATTTTTCCCTTTGCCTCAATTTTTTGAAGGTCAAGTACCACTTGGTTTCTCTCTTTAACTTTACCCTTAAGTTGTTAGAACGCTTCTTTCAGCTGAACTTTCTCTCAAATTTTGGGCAAAGATCAGAGACATCAGGAAAACAGAAAAAAAAATAGACTTTTGGGAATCATTTCAATTGAGGTCCATTTCAGATTACGCTAGGCTGTTTCTACCGCCCTTCCAGAATTCGGTTAATAATCAGAGAACTCCTATCATTTGGCTACCCCTAAATCCACATTACTCTTCCAAGTTTCCAAAAGCAGAGACAAAATCCACTTTGTTAAATTATCGGTATGAACTCAGTGCTAGTAGTGCTGTAAAACCAGTTGATGAATATGCATCAGACTCTCCTGACCTCATTAACATTTTCAGCTGAGTTATTTTCTTAGCAACCTTGTGGGGGCAGTGTTTACACAGACTCTTGCACTCTTTGGACAACAGTTTTGTACATAAATGCATGTATACATTGTATGCATTCAGTGCAGAGTCTGCGTACACATGGATACTTCTTTTAAGTTTGTCATTTCCGCATGTACATGTACATGTAGGTATTGGAAGGCTTCATATAATTAGCATTATAAAGCATGAAATTCAGGTATTTATACATGCAATATACTGTACATGTGGGGAGATAAAAAGGCATACATGTCTATGGAACATTATTTACATGGATTCAGAAGTTGTTTGTGTTTCAAATGTTTGATTCTACAATATGCCAGTATTTTTGTGAATGCATAAAGCTTACATACATGTACTTCTTCCTGCATTTTGATATACCGGTATTGTAGTCAACATAGTTTCCAACTGCCAAATGGGGGCAGGCTTTACGTCAACCTTAACCATGAACACAAGGGCCTTTACAGGTACATGTACATGTACATACCACAGTGTACAGTGTGTTCAGGCACAATACGCGGTACATACAGGGTGTACACGTGTACTCGTGTACTCCGGTACATCTGCTGGGTCATTCTATTATGTTCATAGGGGTGTTTGCCAATTTGCAGTGTAACACAATCGAATTATTTCTTTGACTTAACAATTTTCAGCATGTTTGCAGACATTTGTGGAAAGACACATTTGTTCTTTTTTTATAACTCCAGCTTGGAACACTACATAAAGATACATACACTTATTGTTATAACGGTTTCATTACTTTTTTGACCTCAAGCTGAAGTAAATCTTTAGCCATTGTCATCACTTATTGATTTTGTCTTTTTCACTGTGAGGTTCTGTTGAATTTGCCTGTGGTGTGTTGACAAGCATTTTACTAGTGCTTTGAACATCTCTGCTTATGTGCACATTTTTAGGGTCCATGGCTGGCCATGTGAGGGTTCAGCTCACCCACAGTTACCATGGCAACTCCACCACCAACAAAGCGTGAAAATATTTGTCTGCTAGCTGGAATGGTTGTAAAGGCAGTATTTGTATATTTGAGAGGAATTGGAATTTTACGATGAGTCTGCCTCCAGTCTACAGTGGAGCCTCACAAATGCTGGTGAACAACATTCAATACAACAATTTCATGTACATCATTGACTGGTTTAAGTTAGGCTGTTCTACAGTCACGGATGGACAGACTCCTGAGTTGTGTATTCAGAGCCTCTGTTATCTGCTAGCCACATGGAATGGTCTCTTATCAATAAAGGATTTGAATGGGAACTGAGCAGTGTGAGTGTGAACAGTATACACTTTGAATGGGATATTTTTCTACATGGGCCGACACATGTTGCAAAATATTGACCACTTCATGTAGCATGTGCATGCAACTTTACTGTAAAGGATATTAGTTCCAAATATACTGGGACAAGAAATGCAGTGGTATCTACCGGTAGTTGAGATCGTAGCAATTAACCTTTCTCCTGTGTATATTTCATATCCGGAAAGGATTCCATGAATAATTTACACGTACAGATCTTGCGAGTGGCTGGATTTTGGACTTTCAACTCAGAATTCACTCTGTTTACTTCGATCAGAATCAGAGATGGGATCTTTCCTTACCGGTTATTTTTGATAGTCAGATTTGGCATGCCTATACTCCGTGTAAGGCAGTGCCGGAACTGTGATTGAGATCTCACATGCTGTGCTGTTTTCTTAAATGTATTTGCACAATTTGGGGATTGCACCTATACATGTAGTTGTCAGATGGGCAGTGTACGTGTGTAGGTGCATGGGGCTATTGTAGCCACGTACCATGTGACTGACCAGTGACCATCGGTACCCACTTGTGGGTGACCAGTGGAATCCGATGACAGAGGGCCAGTTGTCCAGCTGCACATTCTTGCCCAACCCCGAGGAGACCATCATGGGACAGGACGTTGGCGACGGGAGTGCACCGTGGGATAGCTTTTTCGAGACTGTCGCCAGTGCTGGGCAGGTTGGGGCGAGTGGGTACAACGGTGAGGAAAATGGCACCTGTGAAAAAGAAGTACCCTTCTGCTCTGAAAACATAGACAAGAGCAATGATGGTACGTTCTTGAAGGGTTTCATGTTATCACGTTCAAATTTGTTGCTTCTAATTTTTCCTCCAAATGCACAAACCTGTTGTACATGTACATGAATCTTTAACCCTCAACCCCTAGGGTACATGTAAATATGTGTAAAATCTTATTGAAATTACACAGTTACACATTTCAGAATTGAAGTTTGATTTCAGTACTGGAAATTTAATAGAATTAAATGACATGTACAGTGTATGCTAAAATCCATGTAGGTCATTTTCCATCCACAGTAGTAAGTGTTTCGCTGGAACCCTACCATGGCTATAAAAACAACAAATGCTAGTGGCACTGTTATATGTTAATCTGATCTGCAGTTGATAAATTTGCATGTACTCATTCTTCCGGTTTGGAAATATACTGGCACTATAAGTCCTTCAACCGTTGGCATTGATGATGGAACTTACTATCTGTCATTGCATGATTTAATGATAATTTGCCATGTTGTTTTCCTGTTCTAATGTACAATTACCTGTATGCATTAACATGAAGTGTAGGATTTTGTTTCACATTTTACTGTGGTTGGAGATGGCAGATTTGAAATGAAGCACTCGTAAAGGCCCTTGTGAACTGATGTATATATTTCTGCCATTGTTGTTGGAAAAGGCTGCAGTGGAATGCAACTTTGATAAATGAGAAAAACGCAACTTGTCCTATGTGTGTAGTGTTGGATTGGCCCAATTCATGGCACAAGTGGTTGCCGTGAATTCACAGATAGTTAATATGAAAATTTAGCATTTATGCCTCATTCACAACATCCAGTATACAGTTGCTTACCAAACTCTCGCCCATTGCTGTGGTGGCCAATCTCTGGGCAACCATGTGGTCACATGGTACCGGTACAGTACATGTACTTTGACATCTTTTGATTGGACCCTAGACGAAGCTTTGGCTAAACACATGTTTTTGCAGTTACTTACCTTTTGTGCTAAAAAACAATTTTTTTCACAGGTTTGTGAATATGTGCCATGTGACCACAGTCACAGCCATATTTTCAAAACACAGAATCTAAAATGACTTAATTGTAGGCAATTACATGTATCTTTCAGAAACTTTACAAATTCACATTTACATGTAAAACAGAAAATATGCCATCCTGCAACACTCTACTGTATCATGTATGATCAGTGTTGGAACATATTGATAAAAGTTAAGTGATTGCATTCCTCCATGCTTTTGCAATTAAATTGATTCCTGAATTGAGTTTCAGGACAATGGGCATTATGCTTAATGTTTGCAAGTTAGGTTATCAGTGTTCAGTGCCCATGTTCTTTAACCTCAGATAATTTCATCAAAAGTATGCATAGAAAGACAGTAAACTCCTTTGAAATTAAACTGAATTTACATACGTGTACATGTACGTTACACATTGTATTTATAAGCAACACATTTACAGTTTTTTTCAGTCGTGCATGTTGATGTGCAAAAGATAGTTCAAATGTGTTTTTACAGACTTCAATCATGTAGACATTACATGGTTAGTAATGAGTTAAAAGAACTACAGCTCTTCTGCTTAATGTTCGAATTTGCCTCCAGGCACTTCGATGAAAACATAAAAGGAATAGCTTGTTCGGCGATAACGATCTTGTTCCAGCCCATGAAAGTGCAGACTAGGCGGGATACACATGCCCATTTTCACGTAATGACTCTTTGATCCAATTATAAAGCCAGAAATCTAGTTCATGAGATCTTGTCGAATTTAAAGTTGCAGTATTTATTTCAAGAAATTGAAGGAAATGGCCTTAGCTGTAGTAGGGTTCTGGAGGATCACGTTACCAAGGATGGATGAGTTCGTTGGTGCCTGAATGCACTCAGTCATCCACCCCAGAGCTATGGTAATTCACAATAAATCCAGGTCTCTGATTTTTCATTACCGCCGGCTTTCCTGTCTGGATGCGGATAATTAGCAATGAATAATTGTGAGTCAGGATCACATTGGTCTGAGCTAGTCAGCTAGATACTTTATTTTTTTCCATCATTGAACCACCTTCACTCACCAGTGTCTCATCATCCTCGTGGGGAATACAGTGCTTCTTAGTCATTTCTCGACTGTGGTTTATGTGTAAGTTGCGTCAAGCCATGTAATCTTTCCCTAAAGGATGGACCTATTACATACACATGTATGTTATGTACATTCCCAGGGAAAAGTGGTTTGTGTCAATTTACTCATACGTGTCTGAGCCAAAGTATCCAGAACGCTCACAGTTTGAGAGCCGAGTTTTAAGCAAATTGTTTCACACCGAGGATTCAGATCTCTTACCATTCGTTGGTGAGACATTTGCAAATTTTGCGCGGCTGTTGTGAGCGATGATGTAATGACTTGCATCTCAAGATGTTATCCCCAGACTTTGATGACACTTTGTCTGGACAGTCTACAAAAGACAGTTGCTTTAAAATTCACCAGCACCTCTCAAGTTTTGATTTAGATTTGAGCCACAAAGCCAATGAGATTATCCATGAAATCGATTACCTCTACGAACATGGCGCTTTGATATTCCAAGATGGCCTAAGGGTTTGATAGTATGTGTGCAGGATGTGAGGAGATTTTCTCTGTCTCCGTCAAGCCGTCTGCTTCGGGAAAACTACAGTCTGCTGGAAGAAAGGAAAAAGTAAGGCACCTTGAGCATTTCTGAGGAACTGTGATTCATTTGTCTGGCTTGGCACTGTGCCCAGAGAGAGTGGGGCCTATTTTTGGGATAAACGTCTCTATAGCACTGCCAGAGTGCAGTACAATGACGCAAGGGAAGAGGGTTGAGTAGGCGTCAAAACAGGGAACTACGTAGGGTATTTCATGCTCCTTTGGTCTTGAGGTCAGTTGGCAAGACGGAATCAGCACAGAAAGCTACTTCCTGTCAATATGGAGCCTTGCTGGAAAGAAAGATGGCCTTGTAACTGCGATCACAAGTTTAGGGAGGAATGGTGTTGCTCCACTTCCAAGATCATTGCTACCTTGAGGCTGCTGATCTCACGTGAGCACAGTAATGCTGCAGGTTGCTGATTGCATCATCCATGAGCTTAACGATGGTGGACATGTACAATGTATATAGTAAGAAAGATGGTGGTCCTGGATTTATCTTAATTGCAAGGGACTTGATGCTGTTAAAAAGTGGGATTTGGACCCATTAAGAACTTATGAGTGTATGCACACAAATCTCCCTCAGTAAATTACAGGACAACATTACAGGGAGCAGCAGATGGTCTGAATATTTCATGATGCCCAATTAGATGAGGTCGTGTAATCAATGAAGCACATGTATGCCAGCATATTGTGTGTGATTGTCAGCTTGTGAGTAGATGAGAAATTATTGGGCAACTTGTCATCTGCAAGTGGAGGTGACTTTCCCAGTATTCCCAAATGTTGCAAAACTGCAAATTCTCGACACTACGCTTTCACACAGACCACCTGTAGGAACAAATCTTGGCTTCAGCGTTTGTCATCGTAGAGGTTTTCAGATTGATTTGGGATTGAAAATCTTTGACTGGTCAAGTCAAGCTGACTTTGTTTGATTGAGGCAGAAGACGGAGGTTTTAACTATGGGATACGAAGACGCTGAAACATGGGCAGAGCTGATGGAAAACATGAAAGGTAAGATGTACATGTAAGGGTGTTCACTTGGCTTTTTATCAAACTGTAGGAGTTCCCTTTCAAATCATTTAGGTTTTGAAGGAACACTTTTTCCTCTGTGCACAATTCTGTGATTAAATTCCTTCATATTAAGTCAGTTTTTCAATGTGTAAACATTCTGTACCATTTTTACTTAAGTAAACTGATGAATAGAATGTGAGCTCCCTGACTTCTGTGAATTGGACATACTGCGCCTAACTGACACACCAAACACATTTGTGAAGAGAGTGATTTTCATAGGCAGAGTGTACCGATGATGTCACACTTTGTTTACATGTGCTGTTTCCTGTGGGTGCTCAATGGATCATATCCCACCTCAGTGCCATAGGAAAGCACACATGTAAACAAAGCGTGATGTCATAGGTCTGTTGAAATATATGTGTCCATCTTCAATAAATCATCCAGAAAGAACAGTTACACGTTTTACTATTTTACTATTAAATCAGTCATTTTTCCCCCTAAAATTCTGTTAGACTTGGTTGATACCATAATTTTTGGAATGCAAGCTGCCCGGTGTATAAGCCACAGCATGCAAAAATCAGAAAATTAAGATTTAAAGTCGGCGCATAAGCCGCACCAGGGTATAAGCCGCAGAGACATTTTTCAGCATGAGAATCAGCGTGTAAGCTGCAGCTTATATTCCAAAAATTTCCATAGATTGCAGTATAAGAGACTGCAGAAACACTGCCCAAACTGTTGAAATGGGATGCACATTATATGTGAATGCACAAAGCAGTGTACAATTAAATCGCAGTGATCATAGCTTTCATTTGTGAAGTCATTACAAGACATAAAAAAATAAAGAAGGCCACTACAGGCTTTGTACATGTATTCATTGGAAGCTTAGGTTGTGGATATAGTGTACGAAACCAGGAAGAGTGAAAGCGACTGTATACAGTATGCATGTACATGTAAACACCTGAAATTAAAACGTTACAACCCGTGCCTATTTTGTATGACTTACATGTACGGTCCTCTTGGTTCACTGAGTGAAAATGAGAGTTACACTTACTGTACCAATTCAATCGGATTATGTTTTGTGTTTGAATGGAAACGCATTTACCATATCTGTGCTCCAGTGACTACATACAGTGTGTATAACATGCAAAGTGTTGTTTATGGGAGTTGTCGGAACAATTGACTAGCCATGCATGGGTTCTTGTAGTTTGAGGTCATCAAGTTGTCACGGAAAGTTGGGCAGGAAATACTGGCCAAGCTTCAACATCCGGTATCTCTCGGGTGTTGCTGTAATGGAGAGATTGGCTCTGCAGTTTTTAGTCACTGCTTCCTTCTTTATTTGTGTTGCGTCGTCAGTATTGGAAAAACTTTCACAATGCCAATTCATGCCCGTGAAGAGGATGTCATCTCACCAAACTTTAGTTTTGTTTGGAAGTGATACCTCGGAGAACATGAGAAATAGTCTTCAAAATTAGAGCTTGTACATGTACATGTACCTGAATGATGGTTGCAACCTGGCTTTGCCGAAGTGTGAAATATATTTCCTGTAGGAGTATTTTGGCTGTTTGATCTGGAACAAGGAAGGCGCCATGTATAAGTGTCGGTTGGAGAAAAGGGGAGGGATAGGGTTTGGCAGTCTTGACGTCAATGACGAGGACCTGGAGTGGTATTTGTATGATGAACTCAGCATAGCTGATCTAGCAGGTGAGCAATAGGGGAGGGCGGAGTGAAGGGAGTGATGGAGGGTGGGCCATGGAAGCAGAGAACATGAAGACTTTTTTGCCTTGCTATTACATTAACAATGTACATGTAGCGGAGTACATGTATATGAAAATATGCACAGTTCCAAATCTACCCCACCTGTCCATAGTGCAGGAAGTATGCATGTACGCAAACCTAACAGGACAGCATGTTGCAATCCTTGATTTGTCACATGCTTAATATACAGTACATAGAGCTACATGTATACATGTGTACATGTAGGTTACATACATACATGTACACGAGCACATTACGTACATGATGTGTTTTACAAGCTGCATGTACTTTGGTAGTACCATACATGATTGACCATTCTTTTATTGCCTACTATTCCTTTAAATGGCCAAAGTCAGCAGAAATATCTTTAATTGGCTGGTGTCCAAATGTGCATTTTTCTGATGACTGTTACAGAGGGTTGTACTTTCATGTAGTACCTGATGGCTGTAATGTTTACTGTTATTTTGGTGTTGCCATAGCTGTGTGAGATTTTCTAGGACATAAGTGGGGAATTTTACCCCCACAACAAATGTTGCATAGAGCGTGTTAACTAACCCTTTAAGAATTCTGGTCCAGCTGTGATAGTCCAAAAACAGGGAAAAAAAGTCAAAATTAGCAGTGTGCCAAAAAAAAGCCTTACAGCTCCTTGGACCAAGTGCAGTGTTGGAGAGAGCTCCATTCATCTACTGAAATATTTAAAGTGGTTACTGAGATTCAAACATTACCCTATCATTCTGGGTATGGTGTGACTGCCTGGTATCTACTGCCTAGGTACCCTGACCCACATTCTACTAACCTGGGGGACAACAAATTCATTTATTCATAAAAGCATTTTTTGATAATCAGACGAGTTGTGCGATTACATTGTGCTGACATTTAATTGTGTTTTCTTGTACCAGTACCCTTTCCTTCGATTATCTGAGGTGGGTCCACCCTCAAATATAGAAGACCCAATAGGTCATCAGATAAGGCACTTGTGATCGACCTATAGAAGAACTGATCAGGCTGTATTGTCCCTTACCCAAAAGTGGGGATGGTTGTGGAATCATGTGATCCGTATTGTGTCAGTGAGTGACTGACGCCTCTGATAAGGCCACAAGTACCATATATACTTTGTGGTCTCTCATTATGCTGTATTAGACTCATGTCATCAAGTCCATGCTACTTGGATTTTGCCTTTCTCTGCACTTGTGTGTGTTGTTTATTTGTTTCATCTTTGCTTGGAGGGGAACTTAAAGTAGCACTCCCATATACCAGTACATTTTTAATTTACGCGCACATGGGTGTGCATCATACATTCTGTGTGTACATGTATAAGGCATTATTCCAATGTAACCAATGCTCAATTGACATCCCAATAAACTGGTTCCACCATCTTTTCAACCCACAGGAAACACATCGCCCACTTATTTTGTCAAGGCCATTATATGAAAAAGACAAACATTTGTAGGTTTCAGCAAACGCTTTTCAAGCAGAGGCGGCAAGAAAAACTCTACAGCCTTTTCTTGCGCCATAGCATTTCTTTTTTGAGAATGTACTTGTAGTTTAGGAATTTATACCAAAAAGCGTTATCGTAGAATGTTACAAATACAGTTATCTCAAGTTGGAAGGAATGCTATAATGTACCCTGGATGCATCTGTGTTAACATGTTATGGCTCATACATACATCAAGAGCACGTTATACAGATCATTGTTGATAATGACTTAGTCAACTAAACAAATTAATTCATTGTCGTACATGTACGTGTAGTCTGACTCCCTTCGGTTTATCTACACACTCGGTAGGGTGATGCTTATTTTATTGACAGCCAAAGGTAGAGGATTTTTTAAAAAGTGGTGTACGTTTGGCCCAGACAACACGAAAATCTAACCTGCCGGTACGTGTACATTCATTGTTGATGCACAGATGTAGACTGGGTGTCTCTCTCCACAGATAAGCTCAGCCGACTTCAATTGTGAATACACACTGCGTAATTGAAATCATTGCGGACCAGACCCCATTATGATATATAAGGATCCATTTGATAACCCAGATCTAATTATATCAGCAGCGAGACTTCATATTATTGTGCAGTGAGAAAAGGGAGTTTGGGAACCGTTTTTTCAGTTGAATAGCTGTTTACATTTGTCTGCCAGTGCAGGTTGGTACAAGAGTGCAGGGCTCAAGTGTAAGTTGTCTAGTGATTCGCAATCTGGGTACTGGTAGGTACCAATCACTCAAGGGTGTAGGGGTGATTTCCTATTTTTGGCTAACTGCTATCAGTAGCTTGCTTTGTAAAGTTCACACTGCAGATTTCAAGAACTCTATTCTCTTTGGCGATGGGGCATTGCTAGACCATTTTTAATGGGAGGGGGTTGCCATCATGAAATTTGCTGATGGATACTTTTGTGACCACACCCCCTCCTTCCTTTTCCCTTCCCTTAAAGGTATTAGTGAAGAGATGGTATTGTTAATATATCAGTTGATATACATGTACACAGCACAGCAGGTTTGCTAATGGCAAAACTGTTCATTCTATAACCTTGTGGATGAAAACATGTAAGTTGACTGCAATTTGGAACGTCAAGAAATAAGTTTGTATATGTCGAGGTCATCTTAGGGTCACCCTGATTAATGAAGGTGTGATGAAGACTTTTTCAACTCAATTTCTGTTTTCTTCATGATGACTGCCTAAAACATAGAATGACTTTACAAAATATTTGGAAGCCATCTTGATATGATCTGTCAACTCACAGGGACACTATGAGAGTTTGTAAATGACCATGAAAACTGGGGATGTAAAATTGAATTTCTTTTTTAGGGACCTACATGTATATTGGGGTGCCATCTTGCTTTCGCAGGTTGTGTGACGTGAATGCACATCTGTTCCGAAAACTGTACAAGCAAATTCGCACGTAGCCACTGACATTTATGTGCTTTGCACTAGGTAGCCTTGCCACAACCTACAATATACAGTGTGTGCTGGAATAGTCTGAGTTTCCCCGAGGCAACTATTGTTAGAATCCTCATTGTCTGTTCACAGGGGAGGTCTGTCCAATGTCGCGGCAGTTCTAGGGAGTTTCTGTGGCCCTGGACTGTCCTGGATTATACATAGATCCTGAGCTGGTATCAATGCACTATGAACCATGTAGAAATACAAACAAAGTTAATGCCTCAGCATTGCTCAGTATTGTAGGAGAGGTACAAACATGTACATGTAGACATGCCTGTGAACATAATTCATGAGCAGCTTCCATGAAGTTG